TTGCGCACTTATTGCACGCGTGGTTGGCTGCTGGAGAGTTACGCCTTCCGAAAGGATGACTTCTGTCACAATACACACATCGACATACCACAATACTACACGCTCAATGGCTTTCCCTTTCTTCCACGGCTGTTATTATTACCTCCGCCCAACGGAGTTGGAGGGGAGGTTATCATTATGTGATCGGTCTCGTGCGTTGGTGTGTTAGCGTGTGTGTGTGTTCGCGCGATCGATATTAGCGCGTCAGCGAGCGAGCCAGCTCGTAACACATACATGTTACATGCTGGCGGAGGTATGCACTCTCCGTGAGTGCTCTCTGTCTAGTCTATATCTGTGGCTGATGTCTTACAGCTTCAATCGTGGCTGTTTTCGAATTTTTTACTTAGCTCCTGAATGGTAGCCTCTTTCAGTGACAGTACTTGCACGGCGTTCTGCAATGACAGACTAGCACCTTGGTCATAGAGTTTCAGTTTTGCACCGTCATCAGTGTATGTAAATGTGATTTTGTCACGCCTGCTCGTAAAAAACTGCTCTGGGAATTTGCATTTGAGAGCTCTTTCTCTCACACTTATACTGGCCTGAGAACAATATATACATTGTATATATATATATATATATATATATATATATATATATATATATACAATGTATATATTGTTCTCAGGCCAGTATAAGTGTGAGAGAAAGAGCTCTCAAATGCAAATTGTTCTCAGATACTGGCTGCTATGCAGAACGTCTCTTTTTTTGCTTCGAACTTTTGCTTAGTATCGACGTGTAGATCCGAATCCTGTTCTTTCACTCACAGGCACTGTAATTTTAGAACACTTCGGACACCATGTAGCGGCTATTGGCGTGAAGATGCCGTGCTCGTGGAAGATGTTGATGGACGATACGTACAATTGTCTTATGGTTCAATCATATTCTTGCCAATTCCCCATAATGCCATGCGCCATACGCGTACAACGTAAACGTTGATGATACCACAGATATAGATAAGTGGGTCAGGACCACTGATCTCTACTATACTAACAATATAACTAAGTATAGTAGAGATCAGTGGTCAGGACCCGTTATATTAGCAATAGTAGGTTTGTTTACAATCTTCTATGCGCTCTTATTGGTTGTAGATGACGTTCCACATATTATTAATTGCTAAATAAGGAAAGAGGAAATCTCAACGTTTATTTTGATCATAGATATATACAAACACATATAACCTCGTAAATAATGTGTTTGTATATATCTATGTTTCGATGTGCATAGCATGTGGGGTTTCCCCGAGTACGCGCGGCTTGATAACGGAGTAAATTTCGGCTTTTTCTCTCATTGTTTCAGAGGAAATTCTAGGCAGGTTCGTGAGGCCAGATCGGGTCACATAATTATAGGCAGCTGATAAAATATACTATAGCTCTATCAGTCAGCTGGTATATGAATGTCCAATGAATGTACGTGTAAATAAACTTGCTTGTAATAAAATAAGATCGATGAAGAAATATTACGTCATCAGGTCATCAATTCATATCTAATTTCATATACATGCTTCCCGAGTTATCTTTCACGTCTTTTGTGATCACACAGACCACAAAAATAAAATTGTACAAGGTACTGGAAAAGTCAAGCGAACTGAAAAAAATACATTTGACAATTTGAATATTTATATATAGTTGGCATTTATTTTAGACGTGTGATTAATGAAATTATATAACACTACGACATATGTATAAACAGTATTAAACACTGTAAATAAAACAAATATCAGACATAGACCTACGCAACAGACAACATACAAGCCATGATCACCAGTACTGCTCCATTGATGGCAATACAATATTTGTCATTATATAAATACATGCTTACTCATTACATTGCAATTAGTGAAGGTGAGGGACAGTACAAATACACTGCTCTTAAATAAGAATAATTAAGTCTCATTGAGCTGATATCATGCATGGACTGGTATACATATATTATACACACACACACGTGACATTAATTCCAATTACTATAACCGAATAGCTATACTGATTGTAAAACATATTGTAAAGTACAAGTATTGACTTGTACAGTACCTTCTTTTTAACAAATTGAGCAAATGCTAGAAATTGAACATCAGCAAGAGCATAATGCAACTTAAATGTCATGGCAACAGCTTAATTAATTGTCTGTTTTGTTTGCATCCAAACTTCCTCCATCTTCAGTTCAATCAATCAACATTTTCATCTCTCAGTCTGTAATAATAATAGTTGGCATTCCTTCTCTGCATGCATTTATCCAATGCTTTTATGTGTATTGATTTGCACTCAGAGACTAGGTACTTACACATACGTACATGTTGTGTGTGCTCTTCTCTCTGCTCTTGTGGTTCGTGGTATTATGCACAGATAGTGGCTATATGTACATTTCTTCCTAATGCATGGCTATATAAATTATGGTCTATCTAATGAAAGGTACAGATGGTGAGGTTCTTTCTGGATCAGTATACAAACATTTATACAGATTTCACCCCTCCTACCACTATGGAAAGGCCAGTATTTATTACTGTATATAGAATTCTAATGTCATTGATTTTTAGCTCATCTGACATAGTCAGATGCAGCTTGTAGAATCGCTTGATCGTCCGTGCGTCCGTGCGTCCGTCCGTGCGGATCGGCCGTCAACAGCTGGGGCACAAAATCTTAACCGCCTCGAGCGTACGCCGTCAGATATTCGGACGTAGGGGGGGTAACCGAAAACGAGTTGGGGGATGGTCGAAGCTGGGGTGTCAAAGCTCAAAGGTCAAGAGGTTGTAAATAAGAATGGTGGGAAACATGCACTCCTTTACTAAGGTATAGGGAGGAAATGCGATGAATTGGCGGCACAAATCTAAAAACGGCCGCACCAAGGACTCGTGATAGTCGGGTGTAAAATAGCATCTATGGTAGGACATAAAGCCATCACTGTGCCCGCAAATTGTGAGGTCAACAGTTGCCCCAGTCAAAAGCGTCAATGCGCCCACAGGGCAGATTTAGCACATTTTCTGAGGCACATGGTCTGACGGACGATGAAAAACTTTTTGTGCAGCGGCCGACCTAGCATTTTTATGGCATTGATTGAAAGGACATGAGAAGCTTACTTTCTGCTGACATGCGAAGAGTAAGTGGCAGATAACCTTTTGACCCTCAAGAGGAGGGTTAAAAGATTGTTGACTGTGGGTTAGAAAGAATTTGACTGGCCGGTGTTTTAGTAGAACCTATAACATGCCGTGGAGTATGAGGCGACAATGTCACAGTGTGAAATTTTCAAAAACTAAATTCTGCCGTTAAGAAGGTGTATAGCTCTCTTACAATCGATATAATTCTATAATGGCATTCTGTACTGCTGCAGTATGTACATTGACGTAGCACTGACGAGTGGCTACTGCCTAGTGCATGGTTGTTGGTGGTACTGTGGAGTTTTGCCTTAATTGGTTACAGGTGGCAGCTCTCTATATATTGCGCCAGCGCTTAAGGCTTGCCCGTAGGTAAAAATGGATGAGTGCTTACTTGTCTTCTTGCGATAGTTGGTCTACTAAGTATGATGGGAGCCTTCCATCTGTAATCTGAGACACTTAAACGATAACGTGCCAGCTTCGTGGCAAGCTTGTCATAACGATCCCAACAATACATTCTTTGTGAAGAAAGGGTTCTGATACCATCCCTGTGCATTCCAACTGTTTGCGGGCGTGTATGTGGAACACATTTGCGGACTAACAGGGTTTATCTAGATCCCACCACTCACCACAGAGCTCACCGCAGTTAGACGCTTAGATGAGCGCTGTCGCTCGCCGCGCACTTTGTTAGCCCTCATCTTTTAGTGACGAAGTCAGAGGCACGCTTGCTAGAAGTCGCATGATCGTCCGTCTGTCAGCCCGTCGTCAACAGTTTGGGCCACAAATCGAAACGCTCGACGTACGAGATCGCAAAGTCGGGACGATGGGGGTGGTAATCCGAAAGCCGAGTTGGGATGTCGAAGCTGGCGCGGTCAAAAAGTCTAAGGTCAAGAGGTGTTAAAGAAGGGGGAACGATTCCTCCTTGAACTATACAGGTATAGGAGGAAATGCAGATTGCGGCGCACAAATCTAATGGACTCGACCATAGGCTGACCGTGATAGTCAGGTGTATAGCATCATGGTAGGAAGAAGGCCACACTTGTCCGAATTGGAGATCACAGCAAAGCGTCAATTAGGCCACCAGGGCCAGATTGTTAGACATTGTCTGAGACATTGTCTAAAGCCGGCCAGCGATTGAAAAACTTTTTTTGTTCAGCGTGACCTACCACCTGTATTGGCTTTATTGAAAGGACCATGAAATGTACTTTCGCTGACATGCGAAAGCTTAAGTGCGCGCGATAAACCTTTTGGACCCTCAAGGAGAGGGTTAAACATGGATTTGTTTACTGTTAGAAAGGAATTTGACTGCCGGTTGTTTGCTAGTAGAATCTATAACATGGCTGGATGTATGAGGCTACAATGGTCACAGTGAAAATTTCAAAAGCTAAATTGGTTTGCAAGAAGGTTATGCTCCTTAAATCGATGAATTTCTATGGCATTCTGTACTGTCAGTGGTGTTACATGGTAACTTATGACACTGCAGTGGCCACTGCCATGCATGTGGTGGTGATATAGTACTGTGTAGTTTTTGCCTGCGTTAATTAGTTACATGCTGCAGCCCTCTATTCAGCCTGTAGAGCTTGCGTAGGTAAATGGATGAGTGCTTACCTATTCTGTCTTGCAAATAGTTGTTGCTACTATGTATGATGGGAGCTTCCATCTTTAATCTTAAGACACTTAAACGTACGTGCCATCCGTCGCGCAACTTTCATAATCGACTCGAACTAACATTCCTTCGAGAAGGGTCCTGATACCCTAGCTTGTGCCAAATTCCACTGTTTCGGGCGGCATATGTGAACACATTTGGGACTAACAGGGTTTACTAGAATCCCACCACTCCACCACAGAGTCACCGCAGTAGACGTGAGATGAGCGCTGTCGCTCCGCGGCATTTGTTATTTCTCTTCTTCTTTTGAATAATACAAACGCCTGTGTACAGATGATTCACTCAACTCTGGAAAGGTCGTTAAGTCTCTATACACACGTTGACATTTGTAAAAATGTAAAGTTTAGCCAGTGTACAGAGAGATTGTATCCTGGTCTGCTAAGAGGTAGTAATAGATCCTCACTCCTCTTTTGCACTCACTGTCGGGCAGTCACAGTTCCTTGACAGCTTCCTCTGATTCCGTTCACACAAGTGAAGCCTGAACTTCACTCGATACTTGCGAAGCGCGTACACGCCGATCTTAATCACAAATATCTGCGATATCATGTAAAACGACGTGGCGCCGCACTTGACGGACATGCGCGGCTTGTCATTAGTCAGATGCGTGCACAGCAGCCATGTTCCGAATCCGCTGCGCAGGATGGCGAACGACAGCACGAATGCGAGGTTATTGATCTCGTATATGCGTGATTTCGTGCGGCCGGTCTCTCTGAGGAACCAGCGGTACTGCAGCATCGGGTTCGTGAGCTCCGCACCGAACAGTGTCGCCACCATCTCGATGCCGGACTCTCCGATGTAGAGGCACCACGACAAACCAAGAATACTGACAAGATGATGACACAGCATCACCAGTCCTGTGCAAATATACAAGATTAGACAGAAAGAAGATTAGGCGAGTAACTCACATGTACTAAGTACTAACAAAAATTCAAAATTTAAATTGTGGCTCATCTAGCATTGCACAGTTCTTTTCATTTAAATATGTTTTACCTACTGCAATTTGTAAGGTGGGAGTTGTTAGCTGTAGTATGCAAATGTTTTTGTAAGAACAGATAGTAGAACGCACCTTCTGACCCCAACACAACACACCAGCAGATGTCAAACAGAAAGTATCCTATGCTGTTGCCCATGGTTATCACTTGTAAGGCCGTGTTTGGAGTACCTATACATAAACAAGCTGTATCATATATTTGTATACAATTGTGACACGACATCTACTATTTGATAAGCCACTATGCCTCATTATTCACAGAGATACCATATCTATGTACCTCTTATGTGGTCATGGGCCTCTGCCTGTGCTTTTATTTACAAGAGTTGGAGGATAAATGTCTACCTGGACTTGTGAATGGCCATGGTCCCTGTATGAAGACACACCAGGCAGACAGCAGTATGGAAGCAGCAGCGTGCATCACTGTCAGCACCCTACAGTTCCATTCACTCGACTGCCGCGGCATCATGTATTGTAGCAATCCATAGATGGTGCCCCATACAACACCGGCCATGGCTACCAGAGTCACCTCATCCATGCCTGACATGCCTTCGTATCTTGTATGCAGAAGCTTGGGTTTCACATTGTCTGCATGGCTACGGTAGGCTGCCTGGGTATGATAACCTTATAAAGAGCAACAGTCAAGTCATGTTTACACGCATTGTGCAAGCAGTCAAATTGAAAGTATTAAATTACATTGTATGCACATGCAATTATATTGCATTTGTTTACAATGTATAAAGTCTGATACAGGCACCTTCACATGTTCACACAATGTATCTTATTTAATTCTGATATATGTATAAAACAGACATGCCCTTGATGTATTGTTTAGTTAACTTATTCGCATGTACACGCAGAGGTCCCAAGTTGGGAAAATCCAAGAAAGGGATCACTTGTGATAGTGGTCCATCACCATTTTTTCGCAGAGCGCAAAAACAGGAAAAAAGTTGTGGCGGGCTCCGACATCCATTTTTTATAAAGTATAGGCCCCTACATGTAAAATAAAATGCAAATTTATTGTGAAAACATAAAAAGTGAACATTTAGTGGGCCCAAGGATAAAGAAGATGTCCAGGCCATAGGCATAGGCAGTTACGTACATTACCAGTACTAATAGCTAATAGTAATACTAATACTATATGCCTGTGTAGGGTTATACTAGAGTGTTGTACAACAGTACTCAGTAAAGGGCAGTTACCAGTACTACCGGTAATACGTACTATAAACGTCAGGTTTAGCATCGTAAATTAACTTGCAAACGCCACCGCTAGATGGCGCTACGCGGTCTATCGGCGTTTCGGGCGTATCAGTGGAACATTGTCAGCACTCTCGTAGTTCTGGTACAGGGTAGCGAAGGAGCAGAGCTATGTATGTCTGCCTCTGTCATATGGTGAAATGTGCGCCCAAAGCTCAAACTAGTGGCACCAGTACGTACGTGTAATAATTAATTCATGTATGCATGTGCAGGGGCGGCGCCAGGGTATTTTCTTATGGAGGGCGAAACCAGGGCGTTTACAGAAGACGCGAAGGGGGGTCTGGGGGCTCTCCCCCAGGAAATTTTTGAAATTAGACCCCCTCAGATGCGTTTTCTGCGCGAGTAGGGGTGGTCCGGACCCCCTGGACCCCCCCTGTACACGCCCCTGGGAACTGTAGAATCTGATACCGTGTGCGCTTGCAGTGACGGGTGGGGTCCATGGGGTAGATTCATGATTCATCAAGCTGCGTACCCAATAATTTTATGTAAATCTTGTGTACGCCAATCGACGTTGCTTAGTTGCGATTCATCAACACAACTAATTTAGTAAATTTTTCGTACGATTTCGCGTACGCAAGCGAGGCCGTTTTAGGTGCGATTCATCAAGCTAAAATTTACGTAAACCTTTGCGTAACTTTGCACGAGCTGACGAGGTGCCGTAAACCACTCGAAATTTCCGCAGGTGTTTCCAGCATACCGCAGCATGCATTATTTTATTGAGAAAATATTATAAAATTACTACTCAACTAAAAATAAATAAATAATTACCATACTACACAGACAGCGCGCCTTTGGCGGTTTTTTTGTCATAGTTTGGCATTGTTTTCGTATAAGCGAGTTCGTAGTTAGCCGTGTACGTGCACACGCCGTGCGCACTTGTACGTGCACACGCACGCACTTGTACGTGCACACAAGCACGCACGTGTACGTACGCACGCACGCACGCCCGTGTACGTACGCAAGCACGCACGTGTACGTGCACACGCACGCACGTGTACGTGCACACACACGCACGCACGCACGTGTACGTGCACACGCACGCACGTGTACGCTGCACACGCACGCACGTGTACGTGCACACGCACGCACGTGTACGTGCACACGCACGCACGCACGTGTACGTGCACACCCACGCACGCACGCACCGGCACGCGTACGTGTCGCTGCTTTCATCGAGTGTTGAACACAATCATACAAACGAAAATGAGGACAACTATCACATCCCCCAGCACTCCTGTAGACAGCTAGAGCCATATGGTTTACATACAAGAGAGGCATCAGTTTGGTTCCTAATTTCCTATGGTATGTGTCGCACAGTGTGATTGGTTTATGCTAGGCACGCTCCTCAACAGCCACCAGCTACGATAGCCGTAGTGATTTACACCGGAATTCATCAACATTTGCGTACGCAGGTGCTACGCTGCTGTTGATGATTCGCACCTACGAGCTTTGCGTACGTACTTCTAGAAACTCTGTATACGCAATACACTTGCGCAACGTTGATGAATCCGGCCCCAGGAGCCCGCCTTAGTGCCCCTGGCGAGGTCCAGGGGCAGAGCCCCTGGCAGGGGTCTGGGAAAGCTCTCAGAGTTTAGCTAATCAAACCCTAAAATTGCTGACAAAAAAATTGTGCAGGGAACCAAGGAGCAACATATACCAAGGAGATGAAACCCCGGGGGGGGGGGGAGGACTCACCCCACATTATGGTAGGTATCTGGTATGTGCCACTGCGAAGTTAAAAATGGGGGGGGGCTCTGGAACTAACTCAGACCTAAAATTGTGGTCTCTGGAACTAATGTTTGTTGAATGTGGATGCTCTGGAACCGGCTATGTTCGAAATGGGGGTCTCCGGAACTAGCTAGGATTTCGTTGAAATTCAATGCTATGAAATGGACACGTTTAAAAGAGGGGTCTCCGCGAACTGTGGGGAACAGTGATTTGCTTTAAAATCTATGCTGTAGCACTTGAACCAATAATTGTTGTATTATGTAGAGGAGAGAAAAACATGACCCGGAGAGAGATGAACGCACGCACACGCACACACACACACACACACACACACGCGCGCGCGCGCGCGCATACACACACTAACTAAAACTAGACAGAGGGCACTCACGGAGAGAGCATACCTCCGCCAGCAACATACGCCATACGCCACATACGACTCACGAACACACGAATAACCCACGATATACGCCAGCGTACATGTATGCTCGCTCGCCGCTCAGTCAGCAGAGCCGCTGTGGCTGGCTCGCTCGCTGACGCGCTAATATCGATCGCGTCACACACGCACGCCCGCACGCACGCACGCAATACCTTTCCGCCGGAAACAGCATCATCGACAAATGATGGTCCCAACTTGGGACTCCACAGAAAATAACACTTGATATCGATTATCAAATTAAGCACAGGTTTTTATATGGATTGAATTTCGACACTTAATTTTTCGATTTTTCGATGAAAGTGGTCCAGCTTGTAGGCTACATGCATCACTCATTTTTGGGCGATCCCCCTATTATTTGCAAGAATATTCTTCTTCTTTACCTTTTCTTGCAAATGAAGGGGGAGGAGTGACCCCCACCCCACCAAAGGCGTCGGAAGCAATAAAATAGTGCCGCGGCTTTGGTGATAGGGCGAGTCCCGGGAGGCGAAGCCACCCTAGGGGGGGGGTCTGGGGGCATGCCCTCCCCGTGAAAATGTTGAAATCTACAAGGCAAATGGTGGGCTCTGTGCATTCTGAGCATTGTGATTTAGCACAAAAAAGTGTTTCACTGTAATTTTAGAAACAATAC